TTAATTGGAAATCTAATTTGTCTGATTTGTTAATGTACGTTTGGGTGGTTAACTTGGTATTGCAAATTGAAAGCCTTAGAGGCTTCAGAACCCAAAACAGGGGGCATATTTATGATCATCATAATTTTTAGAGTCATCTGGAAAGTTTAATTGAAATATAATTTTGCGCAATTCGCAAGGCCACGTTTGGCTCTCCCCTATGTTAAGCTTACGTATGTGATATATACATATATGGATAGGCCATGTGAGTTGGGGGTTTTATCATTTTGAAATCAAATAAAATATCTAAAGGGGAGGGAGAGAGAGAACCGTGAAAGAGAGATAGAAAGGGAAAGACAGAGGATCATCCATGGAAGCTTGGAAAATTGAAGAGATTAAAGGGGGAAAACAAGGAATTAAGTTAAGGTATGTGGCTTCAACTATTATTTTTGTAAATAATGCATCTACTACATGAAATCAATGATGGATTTGGGGAAAATTAATATGCAAATGAAGAAATGTGTTGGGTTATGAATGAAATGAGTTAAACTCAAGGAATTGAACCTTGATTTCTTTAAATTTGCTTGAATTGGGTTCAATCTTAAGAATGATTCATGGAATACCAAGTTGTGGTGTGAAGATCAACCATGTGTAAGATGCATTTGTATGATTTTGGGGTATATATTATAGAAGCTTGATTATATAGAAGATGAGACTTGAATTTCTATTTTTGAGGCAAAGATTGATTTGTTTAAAATGGAATTGCACTTGATTGATGTTAGTTTATCATGTTATGAGATAATTTTACATGTTTTTGAGTGATTTATGTTAACAACCAAGTTTAAAAATGGAAAAACCAAGTGTTGGAAAAAAAAGAGCCATTTTTAGACAGCAAACTGCCCAGAGTCGCACGTACGGCTCTGTTTCCCGCACGTGCGGGAGACAGCTTTGTCCAACCAACTTTGAATAAGCATATCGTTTTCCTCGGGACTCCGTTTTGAGTGATTCTTGAGCTTAAAATCAAGCTCCGGAAGTCTAGTTTCCAATAGCGGTGGTTTCACTCCAAAATTCTAAATATATAAATAGTTATGCCCAAATTAGTGACAACTGTTCATTTTTTGTCAACCAGTTTTGTACCATTTCTTCACCTAAACCATTTTTCATCGACTTCTCCTATTTTCTGAGACATGGATTATAACTTATTAAGGAATAATGAGCTTGGTACCACCATGGCTAATTGATCGAATGATCAAAGAGAATAAGTAAAGGATCGAGTATAATCTCATATTATGTGTTGTGCACTGTGCTGTAGGTCGAAACGAGGACACCGTCCCATTGCTACCGGGAGCCGATCACTGTGAGTAGCAGTACAGAAGTGTATATTTTATTTACTGTTGATAATTATTGTCACTAACACTCTGTTCTTCATAAGTGGTACACAAACAATTATGACGATTGGAAATCAGTGTGAACTTATATGAACATTGAAAGATTTGCGCACATCGGTATGACTTTGGAATCCTTTTGTTCTGTCAATAACAAATATTAACCCTTTATTATTTATCAACATACTACGTTACTTCTTAAAGAATAAATGGAACTTATGTTCATCCTTGAACAATGGTATCTGTATGAATCCAAAATTATTCTGTTGTGTTATGTATGGACCCGAGGTCGTTTAGAATCTACAACATGAATGCAAAGGTTTAATATCATTATGTAACCCAGGTTAGAATGTAAATTGTTCTGTCTTTGTTAAGCGTACTGTAATGACATGATATGGCAAGAAATGTTCTATTTTCTGATATGTTACGTTTTGAATTAATGAATGATTGTCCATATATATATATATAAGTATTCATGGCATCCTTAGCACAAGGCCCTTACCTGGGGGTAAGAATACCGTGGTCTTATGGCCCTTGCCCGGGGGTAATAATACCGTGGTTCAAGTATGTTACAAGTTCCCGGTACCGGAGGTTCCATTATGGAACTAACAAGTATGCCCTATATTGATTTGTTAACACTATTGAAAGTACCAAGTATAATCAAGTATGAACTCTGATTTCTGTTTATGTTATGCTATGCTCTGACATGATATGGATGGTTTGGTCTTTAAGACCTAATGATTTCTGGTATGGAACAAAATGCTGTACAGAACTAAGTGCTGCAATGCGAGCCACCTCTAGAATCCGTACGAGCCACCTCTTGAGTCCATACATATGTGAACTGAGCTCAAAGCCGATGTGAAAGTTATGAGACCTATGGCCGTTCTGTGAAAGTTATGAGGCCTATGGCTGTTCTGTGAAAGTTATGAGGCTTGTAGCCGTTCTGTAACATCTGTGAGGCCTATGGCCAATTTGTGACATCTGGGCCTATGGCTATTCTGTATGATCTGTTAGTATGAAACAAAGTGCTGCACGGAACTAAGTGCTGCCATACGAGTCACCTTTAGAATCCGTGCGAGCCACCTCTTGAGTTCATACATGCATGAAAAGGGCGTAATGTCGTCTGTTTAAGGGCTTAATGCCGTTCTGTTTAAGGGTTGAAAACCATAGGCCTAAGGCCATTCTGAAAATAATTATAGGATAAAGCTAACTATATGTCCTCCGCCCTTATACATGTACATTGTAATTCAAGTTAATTGTTAAATTGTTACGTACTACTATTCACTGAGTTCGGCTCACTTTATGTTATGTCTATTTCTGTAGGCACTCCACCTGGAAGTCAGTCTCAACCCAAGGCATCCGTTCCTTTTATGTCAACCTCAGGGTGTCCAGGCACTTAGATGAAGGCAACTCATTTTATGGAGTTTTGCTAAACTTTTGATTTTGTACCCCGATTGTCTGTCTAAAGAGGAAGTGTATATAATCATTTTACCTTTCAATGCTTTTGTTATACGCCCAATCTTGAGGGCTGGGTCTGTATATGTATATGTACAAACATATAGCTAAATTCTCAGATGCACGTTATTGTATGTTATTTGCCTTATGTTCCGTTAGTGATCCTGGCATGGTAGTTATAGCTCAATGGAGATGGTTTTCTGTTATTTTTAAATATTAACGTTTCCATTCAGGCCCCATATCTCATATATATATCAAGTTAAATGTCTGTTTTCTGAAGTGGTCATGCCCAAACTTTTAGGGGCGGGTTTGGGGCATGACACCACTAGTCTCATCCTTGTTCGCTCCCAAGCGCCAAAGGCGATTGCTCGTGTGAGTGAGCCAATCTTGCCTGCTGACATCATCATCTGCTAATCATTATGACACAAACCATAATAGTATCAACGTCCCATCATCTCAAAATAAGTGATCGATTTTATAAAAAAAAAATGACCACAACTTTCGCAATTCTAGATTCCAAACATAGGCCTTATCAGCACCTCTTGCGATAAGTATATACAACGGAATCCACCATGTGCGCCTCACATGAAGTGATTTAAGATCACTACCTCTTGCGCAATAACCTCTCTAAAGATATTTTGGTGACCAATTTGCGTTCATTCTTGATGCGCCCAGCTAGCGCATTGAATCTTACAATGAGCAAATTGATATACTATTAGTAAAGCATTTTATCCACAATCTAATGAGCATGGTCAATGTCTAAACAACTCAGCTGACTATTTACCAAAGATAACACTTATCATGCTGAATACGCCCACATAGGCTCTCATAACAAAGAAAAGATCAAGGAATATAGGTCATCTGTTTCTCCCAAAGACAATCTGAGGATTCACTCAATAGCTAAGGCTCTGGCTTTTACTGATAGATAAGTCAATGGGTTTGCAATTTTGCATCTAGAATCGTTTTAGGATATTCCTTATGTAAGTCATCGAAAACAAAACATGAATTCTCTCAAAGCAATCCCTAAGGATCGTACGTCCGAGCATATAAATTACATCACCCATGTCCATCATATCTAAAATAGAGGACTGCCCACCTTAGGTGGCGACAACGTTATAAATTCTTGGCTTATAATGACTAAGTAAAGAAAAACTTCTTTTGGACCATTGATCATGCCTCAGTGGTTTTCATCGATCATCGTTGGCCTATCATGGCTTGACGTAATCTAAGAACCACTATTTGGATAACTGTTTTAGGCTGTAAAAGATTTATTGGAACTAGCAACCTTTTTGCGCTCCTAACTTTTCATCATAAAAGCAGAAGGTAAACCCCTACGGATCTACTTATCCAATTCTCTAACAAGAAAGTTGGGTCACAATGTCCACAAATCAATGTTCCGAACTTATGTCAATCATAGCCTAAGTAAAAAAAAACCTCACTCCCTAGGAGGAAGTCTTCTCATGGTCTACACTTTCCTCAATGATGCGACTTTTCGGTATCTAGCGAGCCTTATGCCTCAACAATGACTGTCCAAATTACGTATAACTTCAGAACAGTTTCGCGTCATAATGGAAAGTCAACCAAATTATAGAAATGGTTAATCCTCAAAGACTTTGTTTTAAACTGCACAACATTAATCCACTTTCTAAAAACAGGGGACTAGAGCCTTTGGCATTATCCTAGGCTCTTTATCATCTTGCGGAGCAATCATGAATGTTTCCCTCTCAATCACCTAGTGATGACGTGAAAAATTTTCATATTCGCTACCACGCAACTAAGAATGTAGAGTATTCTTCTATAATGAAGTAATCTATTAGTAGGAACATCGCTCCCACTGTCCCTAGGATATTGAAAATTTCTTTCCATTCTCAACTAGGCTACATAGAGCGCTATGCTTAGAATTCTCTATCTTATAGAGTTCCAAAAACTCTATTCACGTCACCTTTACTAATAAAACTTTATGTGACTTAGTTACACTACCACAAAGCTGCTTACCTATATGCACATGACCCGGAGGGTTTACATGACCGCATACAATAATGCGCCACACGACCCTTTGTGTTTACAAGATAACATACAATAATACGCTATAGAACCCTAGGTCTTAACTTCGTAATCTTATGAGAAGTAAAATAAAGATAAGCTGCTTAACGGTTATAGATCGCCCATAGATGGCTCTCTGCTAACCCATTACTCAAAATGGAGTGTAAAATCTGATATGGAAGGCACGTAGTTAGGGATATAGGCAACAAACTAGTGCAATTCCCAATTGGGAAACATTTTTGCGCCATTATCCACCTAACATTAACAATACTTAATTCCTTATCTCTACTACACCATTGTGTTATTGAGTATTAGGAATAATCAATTTTCTAAGCATCCATTTCTCTTCATAGAGTTTTTTCTAAAATAACTCAAATAGATACTCGCCACTTTGGTCAAAACTAAAAGCACGAAAGCTGTTATCTAATTGATCTCAACTTCATATGTACAATGTTAAAAATCATCTCAAAACTTTTGACTTATGGGAGATCAAATAGTCTTGACTCAGATGCGTATCGTAATCTATAAATGTGTCAAGATTGAGGCTTAGCTATCATATCCTTACACATATCTAGTCACAAAAATCATAGTGGACTAAATGCGCCAAAACAAATGTCCTTCTACGGCTTTCCTACTTACTTGTGCGCACCCATTGCGAACAAAGTTACACATTCACATGAGAGCAGGATGTCATAAGCGAGTGGGCCCGAGAAAGCCTACTCAAACCATCGTGTCATCATCTCATTAATGTGATTAAGTATAATAAGCCACTAGTTCATGACCAATGTCATAAACTAATTCCAATCATCTTAATGTGTGAGTTCTCGAAGACAAGTTTTAAAGGTTTAGGCCCAACTAGGTAATGACTCACGACTAATTCATATTCACTGGATCATAAAAGGATGTCATGGAGATATCAAGTGCGCCTAAGTCGCAAATTTAACTAGTAAGTACTAATCCCCTGCACCTTCAAGTCAATTTTATTCTCCATACACTTTACTGCATCTAGTTGAAAGATGACGATACTCCTCTTGCCATATCTATTTCTCGCTTCATAGTTACTTGCAATTAATTCTACTATCCACAAGAAGGAGAGAATAAGCTATCAACTATGATAGCTCCTGAAGTAACTTAAGCGCGAATTAGGCTAAAGAATCTAATTAAACACAATGCTCTCACGAGCCATGCGTCAAATTCTTAGAATCATAACAACCTTGTCGGCCTTGACCTTTCATTATTATACTGCAACGTTTGCGCTTAATGATAAACGTTATTAAAAAACGTTAGCCTAGCTAAGGAATCATACAAAGAAGCCCCTCCTCATGTCTCACACTCAAGTGTGGAAACAGTAAGTGTCCACACTTAGATAAGTTGGCAATGCTAATAGATTTTTGCAGCCACTAAACGCTAATCTTTTCACTTAGTGTTAATAGATTTTGCAGCTTCTAAGCGCTAATCTTTTCACATAGTGTTAATAAAACGCACACTTTTATAGTGCATGAAATTTTGCTCCATCCACTCCCAATAATTGGGTAGAGAGCAAAACACTGCTCATACTGGCTACTCATCTTACACTTAATGACTAATTTATTTAAGCTCGCATTTCTTGGATGACGTGACTCTTGAATGTT